CCATGTTTGAAAAGAGGCTGAAGTGTCCTACGAGGGGGAAAGTTCTCAGTGTGATGAGGCCAGATTGCCAGAGTTCCCTCCTTTCAGGACACTTCTGCCTCTTTTCAATTAAGAAGAGCTATGCATGATGGCCAGAAATAGTTTAACACATGTGATGAGTTCTGTACCTCTCCATGTTTGAAAAGAGGCTGAAGTGTCCTACGAGGGGGAAATTTCTCAATGTGATAAGGAGTAGACTACAAGCTAAACATGAGTCAACAGTATGATGTGGCAGCTAAAAAAACCCTATATAATTCTAAACTGCATCAATAGGAACATAGTGCCTATGTCAAATGAAATAATAGAACTACTCTATTCTGCTTTGGTCAGATCTCACCTGGAATATTGTGTTTAGTTCTGGGCACTATAGTTCAAGAAGGATATTAACAAGCTGAAATGTGACTCGGGCAACTAAAATGCTCAAAAATTTGGAAACCAAGCCCTATGAGGAGCAGCTTAAGGAGCTGGGTATGTTTCGCTTTGGAGAAAAGAAATCTGGGAGGAGACATGATAGTGCCATGTTTAAATATGTGAAAGGATGTCACATTGAGGAGAGGACAAACTAGTTTTCTGTTGCTCTGGAGACTTGGACACAGAGCAATGTGCTCAAATTGCAGGGAAAGAGATTCCAGCTAAACATTAGGAAGAACTCTCTGATGATAAGAAGAACTGTTCAGCAATGGAATATGTCATCTCAGGTCTGGTGGAGTCCCCTTTTATGAGGTTTTTAAGCAGAGGCTAGCTGGCCATCTGTTTGGAGTGCTTTGATTGTGGGTTCCTGTATGGCAGGGGGCTGGATTGCATGGCCCTTGTGGCCTCTTCAAATTGTATGATTCTATTATACCATCTAACATTTACATAGGGATTAGATCAGTCCTACAGAGATGTCCCAGATGAGGGTCATTTGAGACTTTCAAGGTGGTCTGGACTTGGATTTTGTGGAAAATATTAGACCTATATAGAGACATGGACGCACTGCAAGCAACCACCCACTAGAGGGCTTCAATAGTCTAATTTCAGGGACAGCCACTTGCATTTTCATTAGTTCATCACTGCAGTATCAATCAAGTAGTGACTTGGGTCCAAACTTCACAGTGTATCTCACTTCACAGAGTACTGGAAAGCAGGAAATGCAAATAAAGCCTTCCTTTATCTTTCAAAACTTGTTTTCACCCAGCTGCTTTCTCTCACTCACAGAAAAATGTGATGAATAATTTTTCCCTGCAGGTGAGAAAGTAGTTTGGGGTCTGGGATTTTGAGCCATCTTGTATACAAATAGTTAATAATTTTGACTAAACAACAACAACAATGGATTAAGCATTCAAACCACTACACTGAACTGGATGAATGCAAATACTCCATAACAGTATCAGTCTATCATAACTTGGTTTGCACCCTTCCAAATCTTGGGCACCTTCCAGATGCATTGGACTCAAGTGCCTATTATCCAGTTGAGCAGGCCAGTAACCATGAGGCCAGTAACCATGCTGGCTGAGAGTGACGGGGACTGCAGTCAAACCACATCTGGAGGATGTCAGGTTGGGAAGGTTACAGTTGACTGCCAATGTGGGTTACATTAAGAAACATTCAACATGTGCTCTAAAACTTTAAGATGTTGGCACAGTATGAAAGTAACAGGCGTAAGCTATAACAGGGGTTGCCACAAGTTAAAGTGCAACTACAAAATACTGAGAGCATTTATCTCAGGAAAAACATTTGCTATGAGGAATGTGGAATCTCCAAGGGAAGGGGATTTTCTGCCACAGTGAGAGATCAAAGCAGCAATCCAAATGACCTTTATATACTATTCTGAGAGCCTTTCTGGAGAAGCTTTTTCTTTCCCCCACAAACACCTCATTCCAGAATTTCAAAGCATTTTGTAGTTATTTAATTTTGCAATTTAGACACAGATTTAGATTTCCATCCAAGAAAATTTATTTTTTAAAATAAAACGAAACTACAGAAAAGCAGAATCACATCCACACCATAACTAAAGAAATTAAGAAACCCAGTGATTTTTTTTTCATGGCTACACACGGTCTAATGCAGGGGTCCTCAAACTCTAAGATCATTTACCCGGCCCTTGCTCAGAGTCAGCCTAAGTCTGAAACGACTCGAAAGCACACAACAACAACAACAACAACAACAACAACAGCAATTCCTATCTCATCAGCCAAAAGTGGGTCCACACTTCCCATTGAAATACTAATAATTTTATATTTGTTAAAATTGTTCTTCATTTTAATTACTGTATTGTTTTAAGTGTTTTTTGCACTACAAATAAGATATGTGCAGTGTGTGTAGGAATTCATTCATGTTTTTTTTTTTCAAATTATAATCCGGCCCTCCAACAGTTTGAGGGACTGTGACCTGGCCCTCAGTTTAAAAAGTTTGAGGACCCCTGGTCTAATGACTGATGGGATATATAAAATTTTATAATTGAGTCGCCTGAGGGCTGAGAAGGGGGGGGGGGTATACAAATATAGTAAATAAATACATACATATAAAAGACATTCATTATAACTTCTGCATCAGAATTTTGAAAAACCAATCCTGAACTTCTGAAGTGGAAAAAAATGCCAAAACCTTTATCTCCAAGAGTTTTGTCTTTTTGCTGGAAATTATTTGCACTAACTTTACAGGTGAATGTGGTGAAACCACTCAGTTCATGCCCAGATTTTTATTCATTTTTATTAATAATTCTTAAATCCCAGGGCTCAGCTGGGGACTTAAAACCTTCCCAAATTTCTTTTTTTAAAAAAATTGAAATATATCATCCAATTTTTACATATCCTCTTTTTCATATACACAAGAATGTTTATTGTTTCCATATTATCCAGTTCATTGTGTAAAATATAATGTAATAGACTAAAATTTTAAACATTACTTCCAGGAAATGTTTTGAAGGGTTCCCAGTCTTTCTTGAATATTGAAGGATCCTTTATTTGAAGCTATTTTGTCAAAATGTTGATTTCCACTATTTCAGCTACTTTTACTATCCATTCTTCCATTTTTGGAGTTTCTTCTAGTTTCCACTTCCAAAGACATACAATTCTTGCTGCAGTTGTCATCAGAATGAAAAGTTTGTCATACGTCTTCAAAGTAATCAATCTATTATGCCTATTATCCCTAGGGTATAGGGTTACAGCCTGTGCTGGATGGGGTCGCACTCCCCTTGAAGGCGCAGGTTCGCAGCTTGGGTGTGATCCTGGATTCATCGCTGAGCCTGGAGCCCCAGGTCTCGGCGGTGACCAGGGGAGCATTTGCACAGCTTAGGCTCGTGCGCCAGCTGCGCCCGTACCTTGGGAAGTCTGACTTGGCCACGGTAGTCCACGCTCTGGTTACATCCCGCTTAGACTACTGCAACGCTCTCTACGTGGGGTTGCCTTTGAAGACGGCCCGGAAGCTCCAACTGGTCCAACGTGCGGCAGCCATGATACTAACAGGAGCGGGACGCAGGGAGCATACAACCCCCCTGCTGTACCAGCTCCACTGGCTGCCGATCTGCTACCGGGCTCAATTCAAGGTGCTGGCATTGGCCTATAAAGCCCTAAACGGTTCCGGCCCAAAATACCTAACTGACCGCCTCTCGGCCTATGAGCCCTCGAGGACTTTGAGATCTTCCGGGGAGGCCCTGCTCTCGATTCCACCTGCCTCACAGGCACGGCTGGTGGGGACGAGAGATAGGGCCTTCTCGGTGGTGGCTCCTCGGCTGTGGAACACCCTTCCCGTGGACATCAGGCTAGCCCCCTCCCTGCTAATATTCCGCAGGAAGTTAAAGACCTGGCTATTTAAGAAGGCATTTGATCAATAGTGCAATGACTGGCAATTGACCATAGGAATGGAACAGCGGAATGATATCGGATTGTGGCTTGACGATGAGACGATTCGGAATGTAGTAATAAATTTGTTAATATGTTTTTATGATTATGATGAATTGTACACTGTTTTGCACTATGCTCTGTAGATTGCACTTGTTTTTTGTCATGTTGTACACCGCAATGAGTCGCCCTTGGGGGCTGAGAATTGCGGTATATAAGCGCAGTAAATAAATAAATAATAGTAAGTAGGGTTGTGCTTTCAGGGTAAATCTTGACTCGTTTCGTGTCCTGGCTTTCAGTGGCGGCCCCGATCAGTTTTTGGGAGCTTCCCGAAATCAGGAGGGCAGATATTTGTTTTCGCTCGGGGTGCTGAAAGATCCGTTTTCTATCAGCCCATTATTGGGGGGGGGGCTCCCCAGGCTCCCCCTCCTGTCATTTTAGACATTACTCTAGAGGAAAGGTGCTCAGCTGCATGCAGGTGCATACCTTAAGGAAACTTCTTACCTGTTTCTACACTAGAAGAGAGGCACTCAGTTCCAAGCAGGCACGGGCGCTTTCTGGCCATAATTTTGGCCCCCAAACTTGCCTTTGACTTACATGTGAGGTATGTGTATATATGGTAAGTCTCCCTGAATGCAGTGGACTAAGTAGACATTTGAAGTGGTGATAGTTTCAAGATATTTTTCTGCCCAAGTCAGAACTGCAAATGGTATCTCTCACTTACCAAAGCCAAAATGCATCCTGCCCAACCAAGGCAAACCACACACCGCATAACCATATCTTTTTGTTTCAGCAAAACACAATGAACCTCTATCACCCTTCCATGATACCCAAAACACGTAGCCCAAGGCAGCTACTCACTCTGGGCAGGGACTGCCTCTGCAATGTAAGAACAACCCAGTCTCCAAGGTAAGACAAAGTACTTTCCACTGAGCCAGTCACTGATGAGTGATGGTAAATAAGTCATAAATAAGTGAGTCAATAAACCAAGATGCAAAGGTTAAACTCCTCTGTTAGCAAAGTACCATTTGCAGCATTACGGTACTTCCTGATGGAAGAGTGAAAGGACGATTCATGATGATAATAAATGAAGACCGCTTTTCTTAGATTTTGGATTCCTCCCCTCCCTCCACCAGTCTGATGGCTCTTTTCATTCAGCTCTGCACCTGTATGGTCTTTGTCTTGGTATCTGTACTTCATGTCCAAGGACAGAGCGCATGTAAGTATGCCTGGGAGACAGGAGCAAATACTGACTCAGGGTTAATTGTTAAAAACAACACAAGAGGGATAGTTGTTTGGATACACCCATAGAGGAACAAAAGGCATGGATATTTTCAATATATGGATTGCCTAAATAGCCTAAAAGCACCAAATCCTGTCTGATCTTGGAAGTTAAACAGGACCTGGTTAGTCTTTGGATGGGAGACTATCAAAACTACCAGGTGAATTAGGTTAGCGTATATTTTGAAGGAAGGAATTGGCAAACCACCTCTAAGTATTTTTCGCCTAAGAAAACCCTATGAAGTTCATGGTGTTGTAATAAATTGACCAGAAAACTGAATGGACACCTAAATATACTTTAAATACATAGCACTAGCTTGTAGATGCTTATTTCAAATTAAACTCCCGCAGAGTTTCGTGGAGTTTTCTCTTCTATAAGCATGAACAGAAGCGCAGCAAGAACACTAAAATACATTGTATATTTCAAGAAGAGATCTTGCCTGGGGAAGAATCAGTATTATGTTTCCAATATGCTAGCAAAGTGTTTTGTTTTTTTTGTCAGAACAATGAACTTTTGACAATATGTAAAGAGATTCAAGCCAACAGAAATAATAATATTAACACAGGTACTAGTACTAATTTAAAAAATGCTCTACTTTATAATATTATCTAATTCAGGCAATTAATTCTGAATTAACAATATGAATGGGAATAATTTTACATAGTGTCTGGAATAGGGAATTCAATATCTAAATTTAATATGGGATTAGATGTACCTCAAATTACAAAGGTGTATACTTGATAAAGGCACAGGAAAAGATTTTGAATGATGAAAGGCCAAACATTGGCATGTCCCCAGTCTAGATATCAGATAAAATATTATTATTTGGATGTATCTCTTGCATATCTGCTTATTGCCATGTTATATGAAATGTCCTATAAAGCATTTGTACGTTGTTGTTGTTGCTACTGCTGTTGTGTGCTTCCAAATTGTTTCTAACTTGTGGTGATCCTTTAATGAGGTTTTCTGGGGCTGAAGGTGGGTTTCAGAAGCTGCACAGGGAACTGAACCTGGTCTCCAGGGCCTCCAGCGCTCAAACTGCAATAATAGAAGGTACCTTGTGGGCCATCCAGTCCAACCCCTTGCCAAGAAACAGGAAAATTGCATTCAAACCACCCCCGACAGATGGCCCTGACAATGCCACACTGGTTCTCACTTGTTGCCAATAAAATATTAAATTAAAGTATAAAAGTCTAACAATCAGTCGATACTGGCAGATATGAATGATTCTGTTGAGTTAGACTGCACTTCCAGAGACATGAAATGTTTCCTTTTGTTTCACTAGACTGTTCTGTGGAGAATGCCAGTCCTAGTATTGAGGAGAACAATGCTCCTGGAGTCGTGGTCACCAACATTACGACAGCTGCTGGTGTCACTGTAACAATTGCCCCGGCATCAGACACAAACCCTGAGTGGTTTGACATAAAAGACTCACAACTTATCCTGAAATATTCAGTGGATTATGAGGTAAATGACAGAGTGGGGATTAATGGCACAGTAAGATGTGGTTAGCTGTTTATTGAGAAAAGCCATTGCTTATGTTCCTATGAATATAAAGGCAGTATGAAGTGGATCGATACAGTCCAGCCAAAGTCTAAATACACCTAAAAGGTTAGTGTTATCAGAGTGAAAAATGGAAACGGTTTCTGCTCCTATAAGGATTGTGGAGAAGAGGGAATTTGAGCAGGTATTGCTTGTCATGCAACTTGGTAATTTCCCTCGTTGTCTGAGTAGGATTGTCTTCCAGGATCAGTGGACTGGTGGTGGGTCCATAGGTGACTGTGGAACCCTATTCTTTATCTGCAAGTTCTCCTGCAGTGAGGGCATTGGTTTCCAGGTGGAAAGCGGTCCCGGGTGTGTTTGGCTTGATGTGCCTTCCTCTTGGCACGTTTCTCTCTTTCGCCCTCCATTGGTGCCTCTTCAAATTCTATAGCACTGCTGGTCACAGCTGACTTCCAGCTGGAGCACTCAAGGGCCAGGGCTTCCCAGTTCTCAGTGTCTATGCCAGAGTGTTTAAGGTTGGCTTTGAGCCCATCTTTAAATCTTCTCCTGTCCTCCAACATTCCGTTTTCCATTCTTGAGTTCAGAGTAGAGCAACTGCTTTGGGAGACGGTGGTTGGGCATCCAGACAACGTGGCCGATCCAGTGGAGTTGATGGCGGAGGAACATCACTTCAATGCTAGTGGCCTTTGCTTCTTCCAGCACTCTGACATTTGTCTACTTGTCTTCCCAAGAGATTTGCAGGATTTTTTGGAGGCAAGACTGAAGGAATCATTCTAGGAGTTGCATGTGATGTCTGTAGATAGTCAAAGTCTCGCAGGCATATAGCAGGGTTGGGAGGACAATAGCTTTACAAACAAGCACCTTGGTATCCCTATGGATGCCCTAGTCCTCAAACACTCTGTGCTTTATTCGGAAAAATGCTGCACTTGCAGAGCTCAGGAGGTGTTGCATTTCACTGTCAATGTTGACTTTTGTAGAGAGGTGGCTGCCAAGGTAGCGGAAATGGTCAATATTTTCTAATGTTACACCATTAAGCTGAATTTCTGGCATTAGAGAGGGATTAGCTGGTGACTGTTGGAAGAGTACTTTGGTTTTCTCAATGCTCAGTGACAGGCTGAGGTTCTTGTATGCTTCTGAGAAGGTGTTTAGAATGGCTTGTAGGTCATCTTCTGAATGTGCATAGACAACATTGTCATCAGCATATTGGAGTTCTATAACAGATGTTGTTGTTGTTGTTGTTGTTGTAACCTTGGTTTGTAACCTGGTAACTGACTGAAAGTCCCTCTTCAACTCACCAAATAGTGACATCTCATTTTAAAAAAATCTATTAACCCTAGTTCTTGCGTATTGATAATAGTAGAATGAACTTTGAAAATTGGTTGGACTTGTCAATATTTGCACTTAAGTGTAGGTTTACTTCTGTAAATTGGGTAGAAAACTCCTCCTTCTTTTCCTCCACCTTCTCCTTCTTGAACAACTGTCTTTCATTTTTGAAAAAGGAAATAATATGTTCTGGATCACAAGACCAGCCCTTCCAATAGCAAACAGACCTTGCTGGACTGGGAGTGGTACTGAGAAGGAATTCTGCCTCTGCCCTGAGATGTCTTCAGTATCAAATGTCTCAAATGTCAAGCTTGAAACTTCACCTGAGCATTTAAAAAATAGTTAAGTCATCCCAACAAAACTGTTCTTTGGCAACTGACATGTCTTCAATGTTGATTGAGATTATTGTCATAGTTGGTCCTGAAAAGGCCTGGTTGTTTGTTTGTTTGTTTGTTTGCATACTGCAAGTCACTTTTGGTGTGAGAGAATCGGCCCTCTACAAATATGTTGTCCAGGGAATGCCCAGATGTGTTACTATCTTGAGGGGAGGCTTCTCTCATGTCCCTTTTATTTGTGGCTTTTTTATACATTATAGCTATATTCTCAATTTGTTTCTGACGCGATAAATCCCAACAAAGGGGACAGGCAAAGTTACCAAGAGGATACAAATACAGGGATTATTTATAAGAGTTCTAGGTGGGACCAATTTCCTTTATCTCACCATCTGCAAAGATAATGCATTTTTGTTTTTGTTTTAGAATGCAATCAGTACTTGGAACTGGAACTGGATTCAAACTTTATTTTTGATAAAGATGCATATGATTAAGCTCCATGAAAGCTTTGCATCTGTCATAGGAGTCAAAATTTGTTAAACCTACATGCAAATTGTAAGTTTTCTCATTTTTGTTGGCTGAGATCCAAGGAATTATTTTTGGTAACTTCAAGCCCTTATGGCATGTACTTCACAGGCTCCTAAAAAGCACCAAGTGGGATAATGCTTTCTTTTGGAATGAGCCAAGAGGCTTACTTTAAAATAAATCACAATTGCTGTTTTCTCAATTTTTCTTATTGCCTGTAGATATGGAACAGTACAACTTTTTGTATTTTCATCCTCATCCCAGGCACTCCTTGCCAGCTCTTTGAAGTGAAAATAATTCTTCTAATTACTTTCTTGCCACAAACTAACAGGACTTTTGATTATGAAAAGCAGACTTAGGACTCAGGGTGTAAACTGACGGGTATTTCTGGGAGTTGTAGGCCAAAACACCTTGGGACCCACAGGTTGAGAACCACTGATGTGCGGCTTTAAAGATCAAAACCAACATCTTGTACTTTGCCTGGAAACTAATTGGCAGCCAGTTTAGTGACTGTAGGAAAAGTATAACTCCTGGATGGTCCCGTAACCAATCTGGCTGCCATATTTTGAACCAGTTGGAGTTTCCAAACTTGGTACAAAGATAGCACAACATAAGGGCATTGCAAAAGTCCAACCTTGAGGTTACTAGTGCATACACTACCATCTTTAGGCCCTCCAAACCTAGGAAAGGGCACAGCTGAAATATCAGCCAAAGCTAGTAATAAGCACTTCTGGCTGTCACATTTACTTGGGGTGACATTTGGAGAGACAGATCCAGGAACACTCCCAAGCTGCAGACACAGTCTTTCCGGGGGAGTATAATCCCATCCAGGACTGGTTGACATACTTCCATCCCCAGGTTAGGACCCTTCATGACAAGCTCCTCCGTTTTGTCTGGATTCAATCTCAATTTGTTTTTCTTCATCCAGTCCATTATCTCTTCCAGGAATTTGTTCAGAGGAGACATGTTATCCTTAGCTGAGGATTTTTTTTTTTGAAGGCGTGGAGAAATATATTTGGGTGTCATCAGCATACTGATAACACCCTGTTCCATGCCTCCGTATGATCTCTCCCAGTTTAAATATTAAAAAGCATTGGGGATAAAATGCTCCCTTCCTAGATTTGGAGGACTGAAAGATGGTAGTGCACACACTGGTAACTTCAAGGTTGGACTTCTGCAATTTACATTGGGCTACCTTTGTACCATGTTCATTTGCCCCTCTCCCCAGTAAATGTGGAGGGCTGACTGTATTGATGTAGCTGATGTAGAATACAGCAGCAGGGTTTGGATGAAAACTTTTGCAGATAACTGCCTGAGCCAAAGGCATCTACATTGACCATTTAATGCAGTTCAAAGCTAGCTTCAAACTTTGAGAAACAGACAACAAACTCCCAGGAAAGTACGTGAAAGAGACCCCTTAATGTGCAACTGTGCTCTTTTGGTTTGTGTAATTATTCAAGCTTCAAATTGGTTTCAGGATTTCATCCATAATCATCTGCACAGCAAAAACATTCTCTTCAGTACCGTTTTAAAATTACATTAAATGGTCAGTGAAGATGGGGCCTTAGTATCGATTAGAAGCATGTTGTATACATCAGCCATATTAGATATAGCTACAGGGAAGAGTCAAAATAAAGGCATTGCTCCCAAAACAGTAATTCTTTGTGAAATTTCTTTGTGAAATTCTTTGTGAAATCAGTCCCCAAATTTCAGCCACTAAAAATTTTAACTGAACATTTAGAAGTAGAGTTTAGATACTCCCTTAGTTTCTCCCGGGATCTTTCACCATTGATTATATTGATCAGGGATTCTGGGATTTGCAAACTGACTGTCAAAATATCTTTATGATTCTGAAAGAAATGACACACGTAAATTTACCACAGAAAATGAGTCCTGGGTGAGAAAATGATCAATGCCTGAATATCTGTAGTGCTGTAAATCTGGGTGCTAAACAGAAATTTCATTTAAGAGGCAGAATTCTTATTGTGAAGCAATGCCTTTTATTCCCCCTCTCCCTGTTGTTCCTCTGGCCATCAGTTTAAGCATTTTTTAAAAGAAATGTTTATAATGTAACAAATGTTTTGGACTCTTTCCCATCAACCTTAAAAGCAAATTGAAATTACCATAGTAGGACCCAATCCAAATAAATGTACTATTTCCCCCCAATCCCCATTGGACTAAACACAGACTTTGGGGGCTTTAGAATATTACAGGTTGAGGATCCCACATCTGACATCTCAAAATATGTAATATTCTAAAATCACAAATAGGTAACTGCTATAGTGACACCTTTGCTTTCTGATGGTGAAATATACACAAGTGTTGTTTTCATGCTCAAAATGATTCACAATATTATAAACAAAAATATCTGCAGATTATTTGTATACATTGTATGTGACACATAACAGAATTTTGTGTTTAGGTCCCATCTCCAAAACGTCACATTATGTATCTATATGCAAGTATTCCAAAATCCACATCTAAAATTACAAACACTTCTGGTCCCAACCATTTCCGAAACCCATCCCTCTGTTTCTTGCTCTTGCTTGTCTTTCTCAGCTCCAGCCTGGTAGAGACCACAATCCTGTTAATGACATATGTTTGCATATTTGCCCACTACTCCAGTTTATGTTTTTCCCCTGTTTATTATGCAATAATAATAAAATACTCAAAGAAAACCTAGGTTTCCGAAATATCTGCTTTAACCGCAACACATTTCTTTAAAGACACAGGGAAGAAAAATAAATAAATAAATAGAAAATTAAATACCTATTATTACTATCCACCAACAATATAATTAATTTTATATTCATAGTGTAGCAATGGGACCAATTACTTGATTGCTCTATTTGTGACCAAGGAGGGCACTGGCATGAAGATATGTCTAGCTGTTTTGTGTCCAGCTGTGTTGCTGAATATATTGACAATCACATCTAGCAGGATTCATTGGTACCTTGAAAGTCCAGCTTTTTCATAATCAGATTTTGTAATAACGTTTGCCACTATGTACATGAACTTTGCCCATGCTGGTTCTGTCCACCATGTCATTCCTCCTCAGAGACAGTGTCAGTGTATGGGTTGCTGTGAGTTTTCCAGGCTGTATGGCCATGTTCCAGAAGCATTCTATCCTGATGTTTTGCCATGAGTGTCAATGTATCACCAGTCAATATTTCAGTAAGGTTGTATCTGTCACTTTCTACGATGCATTGCATGGTTATATATAGTGATGGAGAGAGCTAGAAGGAATGCCTTTTGGTGCCAAATCTATGGCTTCGAGTGCAGTGGGGGGGGGGGGGGGGAGAATGCTGAATAAATTCTGCTGTAAGGAAAGGCTCAGCTTCTTCTGCTATCATCAGTGATTAGTGATAAGAGCAAACTTAAAATTGGGAATTTGTTGCATGGAATTGAGTCAGTTATTTGTATTCAAAGAAACTGCTACAAAGAAGGAAGCTGTGTTTTGCTGGGCAGAGTTGCTCAGAGGTAACTCCTGCTGAATTTACTTAGGTTACCACTGATCCAAAATACACGTACCTCATAGTAAGTTCCATTGGTGTAATCAGATTTATTTCTGAGTAAAAGCGTACTGCAACCTCAGTGAAGTAACACAACATTAAATATTATAAACTAAATATTTCCCTGTAGGAATTCTGGGATTTTAGGATTTTTTTTCTTTCTCATTGCTGAAGGTGAGGTGGGAGGAACAGATATCCTCCTCTCACTTACAAAAAAACAAAAACAAAAACACCTTATACAGACACTATAAAGAAGTGGAGCATACAATTATGCTATTTAATGTTTTAATTGGTATTATGCAAATTGTCAGTAGCAGAACTTCATACTTTCATTTGCAGTCAGGATTCAGCGTGTTTTTCAAAATGCAAATCTATGGATACTGAGAGGGTTATTGTGGTTATTCCTGCAATGAGCATATGCTACCTCAATATAGCAATGTAGCATTAATTTCCCGTGACTGAAACTGTAAGTTAGCCAGGTATTTTTGTGAGGGCTTGATGGATGTTGTGAAATGCAAGGATCGCCCTGCAAATGCTCTGAAATTACCTGTAAATCAGCCTGTTTGTGTGAACCATGTTTGTATCAAAAAGCATGTGTTAAACAAAAGCTTATGTTTTTATGCAGAATACAACAGTACTAATTGTAGAACTAAAATGCTGGAGCAGCGGTATAGAGGTGAGAATTAGTTATTCAAATATTTCCTTTGTTCTCTTATATATTGCAGCATCTTTGCAGCAATGACAGTGGTTCTCCTGATCCATGGTTTGATGTTGGGACCACTGTACTGGATGGCTTGCACCTAAGCTGTTTTATATGCATATAGACTAAATGTTACAGGAGGAAACGTATTGTTCTTCAGGTCAAATTTAAAATAAGCTTCTCAAGTTTAAAAGGTACACTACCTACTTGGGTACATCTACATTGTAGAATTACTGCAGTTTGACGCCATGATAAGTATTGGTTCAGTGCTGCGGAATCCTGTATGTATAGTTTGGTGAAGGATCAATACTCTTTGGAAGAAAAACTAAAGATCTTGTAAAAGTAAAACTTCCTTGATTCCATAGCATTGAACCAAGGTAGTCAAAGTGGTGTCAAACTGCATGAATTCCACAGTGAAAATGCAACCTTTGGTTTCATCTGATCCCTGACTTGTCAACAAATTAAAGCTCAGTAATGAGAATGCTATGTGTTATTAATCACAACAATAAAGAGCAGAGGGGGAGGGAAAAAATGTCAAGACATATTGGAAAAAATGCATATATGCTCCTTCTAATACCTCTTCCTGACATGCTGATAGGAAAATGGATGAAAAATACTTTGAAAGGACACATAGAAGATGCTATAGAGAAGAGAGGTCAATGGAAAGCAAACATGGACTTAATGTACATGAACTTAATTTGCAAATATTGCTTCTGAGGCACCTATCTCTGAGGAAATCCCTTTGAGGGAAGAAAAATGGTTTATTTGCAGGAAATAAGAATTCCTCTAACACCTGCCTTGATCAGAGATGTTCTTGCTACCTGCCAAGAGTTCACTGATTAATGCCCAAGGTTAAAGCTGTTCCAAAGGTCAGGTCAGAGAGTTCAGAATTCAAGGGTGACCCAAAATACATAGTCAAGAGTCAGTTCAGAGATTCAAGATCTATCAAGGTGCCATACAAGATACAGCAATAACAGGATTCTCACCAGGGTTCAAGGTACTTCAAGGTACAAGGTTCTAAGAGTTCGCAAGACAGGTCAGGATATCACAATCTACACAACCTGAGGGGAAAACCACCATCACCCATGGCCAAGTATGGCTGATACTTTTCTCCCAAAGAGCAGTCTCTGCAAGGTTCTTTTTATGCAGGCCTCCACCCTTATCACTGCCACCTGTAAGTTCTTACATACAGATTACTCTGCCCTTTAGAACTAGGAGGAAGATTAATGTCTTCCATAACTTTTGCGGCATTATCACCCTACTGGTCATGATCCTGCCATGGTTTCTGTGTACTAACCACCACCAATTGCTAGCCATTCCACTACCAACCACCATCAACTACTGGACATGACAAGAGTTCCTTTTAAGCAACCTAACTTGCATATCAAGCCCAAGAGTCCTAGAAGCATAATATCAAAGAATTAGAGTTTCATGAGCCATTCAGTCCAATCTTCTGCTCATTGCAGGGTCACCAGCAAAAGTATTCCTAGCAGTCCTGCCTCTTTTTGAAGATGGTCAGAGAAGAAGACCTCACAGCTTCTCTAGCTCCATTGCTTTACTACTTTTACTGTCAAGACGTTCCTTCTAATTTTCAATCAGAATCTTTTCTCCTGTAACTTAAAATAATTAGACCTTGTTTTGTCCCCTGGCGCAGCAGAGAAGGGGCCTCTCTGTGATAGCTCTTGTGGAGGGGAAACCCATGCTATTGCAAATAGATGTCTTTCATCCTTTGAAGGAACAGCTTTGCCAAAAATCACACTTTTGTCCTTTGATTCTCTAGACTACCATTTCCCCAGTCTCCATATTTAGTTACACTGTTCAAGTATAACTCGATGGGGAACAATGTAGTAAAAGCATACATGAAGCCGCTGGGCGAGATCATCCGGAGTTTCGGGGTGCGGTGTCATCTGTACGCAGATGATGTCCAACTCTGTCACTCCTTCCCCCCTCTACTAAGGAGGCTGTCGAGGTCCTGAACCGGTGCTTGGCCGCTGTGACGGTCTGGATGGGGGCGAACAAATTGAAATTGAATCCAGACAAGACAGAGGTACTCCTGGTCAGTCGTAGGGCCGAACAGGGTACAGGGTTACAGCCTGTGTTAGACGGGGTCGCACTCCCCCTGAAGACACAGGTTCGCAGTTTGGGTGTGATCCTGGACTCATCGCTGAGCCTGGAACCTCAGGTTTCGGCGGTGACCAGGGGAGCATTCGCACAGTTAAAACTCGTGCGCCAACTGCGCCCGTACCTTGGGAAGTCTGACTTGGCCACGGTAGTCCACGCTCTGGTTACATCCCGCCTTGACTACTGCAACGCTCTCTACGTGGGGTTGCCTTTGAAGACGGCTCGGAAGCTCCAACTAGTCCAACGGGCGGCAGCCATGGTACTAACAGGAGCAGGGCGCAGGGAGCATACAACTCCTCTGCTGTACCAGCTCCACTGGCTGCCGATTTGCTACCGGGCCCAATTCAAAGTGCTGGCGTTGGCCTTTAAAGCCCTCAACGGTTCTGGCCCAACATATCTATCCGAACGTATCTCGGCCTATCAGCCCACCAGGACCCTAAGATCTTCGGAAGAGGCCCTTCTCCCTCCGGCTTCAGAAGTGCGGCTGGCGGGAACGAGAGACAGGGCCTTCTCTGTGGTGGCCCCTCGGCTTTGGAATGCCCTCCCTATAGAGATAAGATCAGCTCCCTCGCTGTTGGTATTTCGAAAAAAACTTAAGACATGGATGTTTGAACAAGCATTCGGGTAATCGATGCGATGAAGTTGATGACCAAGGACTGGTAATTATAGACGATGAATTCGGATTATGATTTTACTAAGAGATGCATTGGTCTGTATTGGTGGCCCGATACTGTGTACTGTATATGTTTTTAAGCTTTTAAATTGTTTGATTATTGTTGTTTTTAAGTACTGTTAACCGCAATGAGTCGCCGTTGTAGGCTGAGATATTGCGGTATATAAGCATACAAAATAATAAATAAACAAAATGTTTGTAGATGGATGCTCACTAATTAGAACTTTATTTACAGATAGTGCAGATTTTTATGACAAAAGTAGATATGATACCAGTTTGTAGAACTAGTGCCAGCAGGAGCTCTCCTCCTATTATGAAAAGCAGGCAGGGAAGGAGAAATTTCAGTGAGAGAAACACAGTGGGAGTTAAAGCTCTCCTCCATAACATGGTCTTACTCAGGCCCCCTTTGCTATTACCAGCAATTTCTTGAAGAAATGTATTTTTCAGGAAGGTGCATTACAGCATATTGAAAGCCTCATTTCTCACTGGGTTATGAGATGACTATCCCTTGCAGTCTCAGCTCAAATCTGACACCAAGCAATACACTTCTCATTTGAAAATGATCTACCAGATTCATACAATTTTATAGCACTCTTGTTTTTCAACCTTTGAACTGTCAATCAATTTCTAACTTTATTCTGCTTTACTAGGAAAATAGTCTGATCGTTGTGGTGACAATTATCAATGTCAATGACAACCCTCCTGTCTTCAAGGAAACTAACATCACGGTCAATGTTAATGAGGTAAACCGATTTATTCCCATGTCACTAATAAAAAGTAATGAGTCATGATAATTAACAGAATCTTGGATGGAAGGAAAATTGTATGAATAACAATTAAGATCAAACATTAAATCTGTTCTCCAGTTGTTTTAGGATACAACTCTTATCATCCCTAACCAGGCAATGGGTATCAGGTTAGGGGAGTCTTTGGTACAAGGGCAACCTAACAACAAATGGCACTTCACTTCACTTCACTTCACTTCACTTCACTTCACTTCACTTCACTTCACTTCACTTCACTTTATTTCTTAATTAGTCGCTCTCCACCAAGGTGCTCCGAGCGACTTACAATCCAAAATAGCATTTACACAATATAAAAACATTCAACATAAAAACATTCACTTAACTCCAAAACAACAGCAACAGCATTTTAATATCAGTGAGAGTAAAGAAATCACCATGTAGTAAAAGCATGCAATTTATTGTATCATAAACCTATGCATTTTTAAAATGTCAGAACTGCCCATATATGTGTGTTCACCTTATCCACAACTTCAGTATGAATCTTTTATTCACCTCTTTGCTATAAATGTTTATGCCGTGGCCTGTTTGATAATATTGTATATCAATATCATAGTTGTGTTGCATGCTTTCCAGAAAACTGTGTTAAGAAGACATCCTATATTAATGCTGCAAACATGTAAATATATAATAACTATATTTGCTGGGTTCATCTACAGCAGGCATGGGCAAACTTTCTAACTTGGGGGCTGCATGCTAGCACTCCCTCCTGGTGACAGAAGAAAGGGAGGAAGGGAAGAGAGAAGGAAGGAAGGATGAAAGGGAGGAAAGGAAGGATGGAAGGGAAAAGAGGGAGAGAAGGAAGGAGGGCAGGAGGAAAGAGGGAAGGAAGGAAAGACAAAAGGGAAGGAAGGCAGGATGAAAGGGTGGAAGGGAATGATGGAAGGAAAGAAAGGAAGGAGAAAGGAAAAAGAGAAGGAAGAAAGGGAGAAAGGGAAGAATGGATGGATGGATGGATGAAAGGAAGGGAAGGAAGAATAAAGGAAAGAGAGAAGGAAGGAAAGACAAAGGGAAGGAAGGAAGGATGAAAGGGAGGATGGGAAGGATGGATGGAAGGAAGGAAGGAAGGAAGGTAAGGAGAAAGGAAAAAGAAAAGGAAGGAAGGAAGGAAGAGAAGGGAGGAGGCAAGGAAGAGAAGGATATAGGAAAGAGAGAAGGAAGGAAAGACAAAAGGGTGGAAGAGAAGGATGGAAGGAGAAAGAGGGAGAGAGGGAAGGAAGGATGGATGAAAGGGTGGAGGGGAAGGAAGGAGGGAGGGAGAAAAAGAAAGGCAAGGAAGGGAGCGAGGGAAGGAGGAAGGAAAGAGGGAGGGAAGGATAGGATGGTGAGAGAAAGGAGGGCCTGAGAAAAGAGCCCAAGGGGCCACATCCGGCCCCCAGGCCTGAGTTTGCCCATACCTAAAATACAGCGAAAATAGGAAATAGATACAGTGCACAGTTAAAAGATACAAGTTACACAAAATCATAAAGTTGATACAGTTTATTGAAAAGTTAGATACATCAGAGTTTAGTGGTTTACAGTTGCTGCTGGTTTGATCTTCTGATACTTCAAACTTGCCCAAGTCCGGAAAGGGTCTTTTTTTAAAAAGGAAAAAAATCATATTTATTTCTGAGCCCTTGGTGAACTATACATCTCTGGGGGTGGGGGTTTACCATGGTTTGACAACAAGCTTACACAATGGATTTTGAGCAAAGGTTGACCTGTGCTAATTTCTGTAATAAGGATGCAAAAAACTTCCACAGATTTCTTACAGTACTGTAATAGGACTCACAAAGAAAGCATCCCCCATTGGTACTAATGAACTCTTCCACAAAATGCAAGAAGCACTGAGACAGTTTGTTAGACAATAGCAAGGAAAGAAAGAGCTGCTCCGAGATCCCTTTGGGGTGAGAGAGGGCAGGGTAAAATATAATAAATAAATAAATAAATAAATGATAAAGAGCTCAGTTTATTTCCACATTATAGTCACAAAGTTGTTCAGTTACCTAATGACCACTATTTACATATCAAAAAGTTGCATGATGAATTGTATCACACAATTGATATAATGTCTAGTTTGGCCGTGGACTGTAGGATTTAATATAAATGCATTGAATGTGGATTGCATTTGAGTATCATGGGCTGCCTTTGTTTTTTTTGGGAAGGTGCTGATTTATTTATTTATTTCACATATTTGTATCCTGCCCTTCTCACCCGGAAAGGGGACTCAGGGCGGCCTTACAATAGACAACAATTTGATACCAATACATATAAATATAAAAATAAACAAATACAATTAAAACCATACAATTAAACATTACTTATTAAAACATCAATTAAAATCATGTAATCAGATCACAGTCCAAGGCCTGTCCAATTGTCAATTCCATTAGTCCTGATGATATGACTATATGGGCACACCTATTTCTGTGATCCCTGAAGTGACTGGATTGACCTTGAAGGAGCTGGGGGTCGTGACGGCCGACAGGGAGCTCTGGCGTGGGCTGGTCCATGAGGTCACGAATGACTGAATGAATGAATAACAGCACCATTTCTATGAACTATACCAACAAACTAGTTAATATCAATGAAGCTACAAGATCTTTTTTCATACTGATCCACCAAGGAAAGCATCAGATCTAGTTGTACAGAGTAGAAATCCATCAGCTAAAAATTATTCTCTTTCCCCGCTTCTCCCCAGGACACAAAAGTGAATGCAATTGTTGTACCCCAGGCTGATGTAACTGCAACTGATGCTGACGCAGATGTAATATTCTACAACCTTACAGGAAGTCCAATGGTTAGTATATAGTTCAACTGAGCTTTAAGGACTGGGTCTGGAGATATAAATCAACTGCCTAATAAGGCTGTAAAAAGTTATTCATTTCAAATATGGGCTGGCCACTCCTTCCAGACAAGTTGCAGGCTAAAGCAGGGCAGTATGGCCGTCTGCTCATCTTCTGTGCTGTCAACACTGTGCATTCTTCTTCTTTTTTTAACTTTTCTTGAGGCAGAGGAGATATGGCAGTGGGATTTTGGCAATGCTTTCCAATCTTCCCTTTGGAGACCCAATTGGTGCCAATATTGACTTCATTCTGACTCCAAATGAAAACATGACCGTTAGCGAAAACCTTTGGACCTTAACCTGTTTTACACAAGTCCTTCCATCTACATAGTTTTCAATCATTTTAATACTGTTTTAAGCTATTTGTATCAGTTTCTAACTTCTTCGTGTTTTACAAAATATGTTGTTATCCTTTAAAATATTATTTTTCACTGTTTAAATTATTCAGGTTTATTATCATGAGCTCTTTAGACAGCAAGGGAGATATAAATATTTTAATAAATAATAATAAATAAACAGTGGGGAGAGGAAGTCAGACCTCCACATTTTTCTGGCAGTTCCAGTGTTTGCATATTTGTGTTTTAGCAATTTTGTTCCCCAGATATCTTTTTAAAAGGCAAGATCTCCATAGGGAAAAGAATGAGCATTCATTAGCTTTTCGAATACCCTTCAACTGCCCCAATTTAGCAGGGAAAATAGCATTTTTTTTATTTTTTTCTCCTACTTTCCCCTCTGTTCTCTCACTTTTCAGATGCTTTTTAAAATGTCCAATTTTCCCATCCTGAACTAAAATACTAAGAGCTGTTCAGCCATAAAATGCACTTCTCTGAAATAATTGTAAGCCGTTCTAAGTCCCCTTCGGGGTGAAAAGAGCGGGGTAGACATATAGTAAATAAATAAATATAATTGAAACTCTCAAATGTCAGCTATTAGGGAGGTGAACTCCTTTTCCTATGATAGGCAGTATTCCTCTTTTGAATTCTTCCCAACTGTATCATTCTACTAATCATCCCTATGTGTCAAGGCACTTCATAGTGTCTTTCCTCTATTGGCATGAATTGATTTTTTCTCCATAATTCCTCCAGGCCCCCTGTCCCCAAATGGCGAGCCAGTGGTACATAACATGCTGCCAAGGCAATTTGATGTTATGAACGGGAATATAGCCAGCCAGAGACCACAAACATCCCAAAATTCAGCTCTCTCGACATTTGGAATTACTATATTTAACTATATATGTGATAGAATGGCACTTTTCAAAAACATAGAATTAATCCTTATATACAGATTTTGACTGTTTTTATCTAATCCATTTACAGGCATTAGAATATTTCAATATACAAGGTGTTAATAATCCACAAATTTCCTTGCTCAAACCCCTGGATTATGAAAGAATGAATTTAATGGAGTTTACTCTATATGCTATGGTGAGTATTTACTATGAGCCAAACATTTGTTTATTTGCAGCTGTTGTGTGTATGTTCACAGAATAATCCCCTTTCAGGACAAAAGTTGATGCTGATTAAACTAACACTGGCGGTCTTGGCAACTGTCACATCCCATGGGTCAGGGTTGAGAGTAAGAATTATGATTCACATAAGAAGTTTCCTTCATTTCATTGTAGGAAACTGAACCAAGGTAACCACTGGGGTACCAGTCTGTGTATTTGCACCAGACTGAACTTGAAGGCTGCAATCAATCTTATCAATTGTAATTGAATGGGTCATTTATTTAGGGACAAGGAACATCTGGCTGTCCATCCCTTGTTGAACTGAAATCCCATAGTCAGCAATGAGCAATGATGGGAGTTGTAGTTCAGCAACTTGGGTGGGACACATATTCTTCACCCCTGATTTAGTTGATGTACATCAGCGCAAAAGCTACATGTCCTGGGGTGGGGCACTTGGTGGCGACAACCTGTACTGCAGGACATTGGTAGAGGCTGTTGTGATGCAACACCTACAACCAATGGCATAATTTGCCTGGCGGATATGTGTTGTCTGTCTTCAAATAACTTCTGACTTATGGCAACTCAAAGACAAACATATGACAGGATTTTCTTAACAATATTTATTCAGAAGTGGTTTGCCATTACCTTCCTCTGAGGCTGAGAGACTATATTGCACCCAAGGTCACTCATTAGATTTACAAGACTGAGCAGGGATTTGAACCCTGGTCTCCAGAGTCCTAGTCCAACACACAAACCACCACTATACTGTGGTTGCTCTCATGTTCTTATTTACTGTTCCTTATTTTTCTTTTTTATAGGATGGAGATGCAGATGCCTCAGATACACACACAGCCACTGCAGCAATAACTATACACATCCTACAGGCAGATCTCAGACCTCCCTGGTTTCAGCCATGCACTCTCTTTGGAGGCAACATAGTGTGTATTAACTATGGTTACACAGGCAAAGTCAATGTCTCACAGAATGTGGTATGTACAAGGGATGCTAGGCTGCATCTACTTCAAACTGCCTTACATAATTTTGGTTTCCCTCCTTCCACATCCTTCTCTTTCTCTCCATGTTCCTGTGCTGCAGTTTATGCAGCCTCCATAGATTTAAGGGTGGCATCCAGTTAGCAGCATAGACAGGAATAGGTCAACCCTATGTCTACATAAGTGTTTAGTGTGGATACCTTCATTCCCTTCTTCCATCTACATTGGCCAAAGCCTGTAGAATTGCTGCAGCCTCTTCATGGCCATTCATTGACTAGTGGTGCATGGCATCAAAGAATAATCTGATTATGCTCCTCTAGCCAGCACAAAATGATTACATTGAGTAAACATTTATATACATACATTTTGGGCTTGTACACTCTGTCTGTCATAAACACAGCCACATTATCAGGAACTCAGTTTCAACAAACAGCAGGAGAGTCAAGAGACTGATATCACAGAAGCCAAATTCAGATGTCCTTGGAAGTCAAGCTGGAATAACAAGAAGTAGAAACCACAAACAGAGAGGTGTGAGCCAATGCCAATAACGTTCCAGTTTCTGGTCCCAATTCAAGGTTCAGATCATCACCTATAAAGCTCTAAACAGTTCAAGACATGCCTATCTTTGAGACTGCATCTTCCCTTATGAACCCACATGATCTCTAAGATCTTCTGGTGAGACCCTTCTCTCGTTTCCACCTTCGTCACAGGCGCGGTTGGTGGGGATGAGAGAGGGCCTTCTTGGTTGTCACCCCCCAGCTCTGGAACTCCCTCCCTAGGGAGATCAGACTAGCACCCTCCCTATCCACTTTTCATGAAGATCTAAAGACCTGGATGTTCCACTGTATGTTCGACTAAACATTTGACAACTGGCCCCAGCTAGGACCCAAAAATTTTGGACACACACTACTACTGTTATATTCAAAGTTAGAATGTTTACTTCTTATATTGCTCTGATCCTTAATGTTGCTATATGACTTATACTTATTAGCCCTACCTCTGAATTTTTGTGTACCAGTCCGCCCACCCATATCAAGACTTGAATAATACTATTGCTGTTAGTTTTGATGCCTATTTTATATTTTGTCTTCTTCTTCTTCTTCTTCTTCTTCTTCTTCTTCTTCTTCTTCTTCTTATTATTATTATTATTATTATTATTATTATATAATGCCAAGATCCAGTGTCCAAGTAGCTGAAGTCAGAATTCCTTGAAATCAAGCTGGTGAAGCAACAGTCAAATCAGGGTCAAATGTGTCAGATAACAACAAAAGCCAATTTCACAATCTAGAGTCTGAAATGCTGATAGTCAGAAGAGCAACAGAGTCAGGTTTCAAGATTCCCCAACTCCATTGAGGGCAAAACATATAGGATGTGGAAGTATGCTAAGCTTTGTTTTGGAAAAATGTGAAGAAGGGTTTCCTTGTTATTGCAGATTGGGCCCTTGATCCTGGAACCAGGACCCCTCTATGCTATTGATGGGGACAAAGATTTAAATGAAATTATCGTATACGAAATAGTTGGTGGTGAGTATGTGGTACCTAACTGTGGAAATAGTAATTTGGGCTCATTTAATATTATTGCTTAACATTTTTCAGCATATGAAGTGCTTTACACTTTCTAATCTGCACCGGCTCCATTGAGAATGTTAGCTTCCAAAATTGTTTATTAGAGTCCAGAAGGGATTTTGGATTGGGTGTCATGCTGGGCATTCTCAAATTCAGAATTGTGGTTAGTAGACTTTCTTTTTTGTTTGTTTGTTTGTTCTTATTTTCTGTTTTTGCATATGTTAAACTTCACTCAACAGTTCCACTTTCATCCTCCATAAATTCTCCAGATCTATCAGCAGTTCCCTTAGTTTGATAGCTAGAGACATTCAGATAAACTTTTTGTCTCCTCCTCCTCCTCCTGTTTATTTATATCCCACTTTTTCTCTCCATATGGAAACTCAAAGTGGTTCACAACTAAAAGCATTACAATACAACGAGGCTGCGGCTGCAGAGGAGGCTCGTCATCCGGCCTCAGCCATCCGGCCTGCTGCCGAGGCTGCGGAGGCGCGGCTGCCCTCCCCCTCTCGGTGAAGAGGAAACACGCCGTGGCAGTCTCCACGTCTTGGGGAGTAGGAGAAGGAGGAGACTCCATCTTGCCGCGCTGCTGACCCGTTGCCACGCAGCGTGAGCTTAAGGCCCTTCCATCGGGGCCTGTTCGTCTCCCTCCCCCACCGTTGGGCTAACCAGGCCCCTACGCTTGCTAAACCCCATCGAGGTCCTCCAGTCCTTTATTTTGGCCCTGTCATCGGGCAAGCGGCGGATACCTCTCTCTCCTCAACCTTACTGGGCAGTCACTGTGTAGCCCATTGTGTAGACCATTACTGCTGTGTGTAGCCCATTGTGTAGACCATTACTGCTGTGTGTAGCCCATTGTGTAGACCATTACTGCTGTGTGTAGCCCATTGTGTAAACCATTACTGTTGTGTGGTTCAATTGTGTGCTGACCGATAGTATAGACCCAGTGGTGTAATCCACTTTCTGTGTAGATCGATGGTGGGCCGCTTGCGCAATTTAGCCGGATAGAGACTAACGGGGCCGGCCGTCACCGTGTCGACCACCTCCGGAACCCCATCCGCTAACTTACACCAAATCGTCTGTAGTTTAATATCTGAATCACAGCAAGTGGGTTAACTGTTAATCATCAATTTACCGTATTTACGTATTGTCAACATCTAACATTATAGTTCCATTCCTATTTGCTGCTAATGTGTTAATAAGAACTTAATTCATAGCACTTTAAAGGCGCCTGCCTCTTTGCCTACTGTCTGCACTTTGTCCCCCCCCGACTCCTCCTGCCGCACTTTATTAGCATCGAGGACTAAGTCTTCGGTTGTTGCACTTTAACATCTCTTTATTATCTCGCTGCACTTTAGGCTCCTGCACTTTAAGAACTACCCTCGTAGCTGTGGACATTGCTACCGGGATTATTGCTGCATATAAGACTTTAGCACTCTGGGGACTATCCTATGGTGCGGCTGAGAGTTGCGACTTGTATTTACCATCTACCGAAGTGTACTGTCTCCATCTATGTGGCCCCCCACTCTCCTGTGTTTACTGTCTCTGCTAGTATTGCCTGGTGGAGGAGGCAAGGAAGGAAGTGGACTAAGGCCTGTGAAGAACAATGGGGAGGGGAGGGGGGATAAAGAGGACCAAAGTAATTGGCAGGAAAAAACGCCAATAGTTAAAACATCTGACGAAATAGAGATTAAGATCTTAGTTAGAATCGGCGGCATGGAGGAGAGGAGGTGTTCCACTAGCCGAGGGGCCCCCATAGAGGTCGTGGTGGGAAGGAGGAGATGCGGGAAAAGGAGACCTCAAATTCGGCAAAATTCGGACCATTTATCCAAAACATTAACAATTCCAACTCGGTCTCCTAAGGTAAATTGGTGTAACCAGGTGAGCGGACCCTCTGGACTGAAGGTGGTGCTGTTGAACGCCAGATCTGTCAACGGAAAAACGACCTGGATCCAGGACTTAATCTTGGACGAGCGGGCAGATCTGGCGTGCATCACGGAGACCTGGTTGGATGAAGCTGGAGGAGTAAATCTGACCCAGCTTTGTCCTCCGGGTTTCTCCGTGCAGCACCAACCAAGATCCGGAGGGCGGGGAGGCGGGGTCGCAGTGATCTATAAGGATTCTATCCATCTGACCAGGTGCCCCATCCCGCAGACCGCAAATTTTGAAAGCGTCTACCTGAGGGTGGGTGACAGGGACAGTATAGGGATTCTAGTAGTGTACCGTCCACCTCGCTGCACTACAGTCTCCCTACCTGAGCTAGCGGGGGTGGTCTCGAGCCTGGCGTTGAAGTCTCAACGGCTTCTTGTGCTGGGAGACTTCAACATTCATGCCGAGGCAACCCTCACAGGCGCGGCTCAGGACTTCATGTCTGCCATGGCAACCATGGGGCTGTCCCAACAAATATCTGGCCCCACCCACTGTGCTGGACACACATTGGACTTGGTTTTCTGTCAGGGATGGGAACAGGGTGGCGGTGTGGAGGAGTTGTCCATCTCTCCGTTGCCATGGACCGATCACTTCCTGATCAGATTTAGACTCACTGCGCCCCCTAGCCTCTGCAAAGGTGGAGGACCCACTAAGATGGTCCGCCCCAGGAGACTGATGGATCCGGATGGTTTCCTGACGGCTCTTGGGGATTTTCCCGCCACCTCGGTAGGTGACCATGTCGAAGCCTTGGTAGCTCTCTGGAATGGGGAGATGACCAGGGCTATTGACATGATTGCTCCGGAACGTCCCCTCTCAAGTAGCCGAGCTAAACCAGCTCCTTGGTTTACTGAGGAGCTGGCAGCTAAGAAGCGAAAGAAGAGGGAACTAGAGAGCGTGTGGCGTTCGGAACCGAGCGAGTCAAACCGAGCACGGTTTGTGTCCTTTCTTAGGGCATATGCCGCGGCAATAAAGACCGCAAAGAAAACTTTCTTTGCAGCCACTATTGCGTCTGCGAAGAACCGTCCGGCGGAGTTGTTTCGGATTGTCAGAGGTCTCTTAACTCCCACCATTGCAGGTGGGAGCCCTGACAATTCGGTCGCGCGCTGTGAAGCATTTGCTCGGTTCTTCACAGACAAAGTCGCCTTGATCCGTTCTGGGCTGGACGCCGCGTTAAATGCAGTCTCTGTGGATGTAACAAGAGCACCTGCTTGTCCTATTTTGATGGATTCTTTTCAGTTTGTGAAACCCGAGGATGTGGACAAGATACTTGGAGGAATGAGGCCCACCACGTCTATCCTAGACCCCTGCCCATCCTGGCTTCTGAAGAGGCCAGAGGGGGATTGGCCGAGTGGGTAACGGTGGTGGTTAATGCCTCCCTTCGGGAAGGCAAGATTCCAGCGAGCCTAAAACAGGCTGTTATAAAGCCGCTGTTGAAGAAACCATCACTTGACCCCACTAAATTGGACAACTTTCGGCCCGTTTCCAATCTTCCCTTCTTGGGCAAAGTCATGGAAAGCGTGGTGGCCTCACAACTCCAGGTATTCTTGAGAGACACGGATATCTGGATCCGGCACAGTCTGGTTTCAGACCGGGACATGGTACCGAGACGGTCTTGGTCGCCTTAGTGGATGATCTGCGCCGGGAGCTAGACAGGGGGAGTGTGTCCCTGTTGGGGCTCCTGGACCTCTCAGCGGCCTTCGATACCGTCGACCACGGTATCCTTCTGGGGCGCCTTGCGGAAATGGGTCTTGGGGGCACTGCTCTGCAGTGGCTCCGGTCATTTCTGGAGGGTCGCACTCAGAAGGTGTTATTGGGGGACTCCTGTTCCGCACCACAACCTTTGATTTGTGGAGTGCCACAGGGTTCCATACTGTCCCCCATGCTGTTTAATATCTACATGAAGCCGCTGGGTGAGATCATCCGGAGTTTCGGGGTGCGGTGTCATCTGTACGCAGATGATGTCCAACTCTGTCACTCCTTTCCACCTGCTACTAAGGAGGCTGTCGAGGTCCTGAACCGGTGCTTGGCCGCTGTGACGGTCTGGATGAGGGCGAACAAATTGAAATTGAATCCAGACAAGACAGAGGTCCTCCTGGTCAGTCGCAAGGCCGAACAGGGCATAGGGTTACAGCCTGTGTTGGATGGGGCGCACTCCCCCTGAAGACACAGGTTAGCAGCTTGGGTGTGACCCTGGATTCTTCGCTAAGCCTGGAACCCCAGGTTTCAGCGGTGACCAGGGGAGCATTTGCACAGCTCCGGCTTGTGCGCCAGCTGCGCCCGTATCTCGGGAAGTCTGACTTGGCCACGGTGGTACACGCTCTTGTCACATCCCGCCTGGACTACTGCAACGCTCTCTACGTGGGGCTGCCCTTGAAGACGGCCCGGAAGCTTCAGCTGGTTCAGCGAGCGGCAGCCATGTTGTTAACTGGAGCGGGTGGCAGGGAGCACACAACGCCCTTGCTATCCCAGCTCCACTGGCTGCCGATTTGCTACCGGACCCAATTCAAGGTGCTGGTTTTGGCCTACAAAGCCCTAAACGGTTCCGGCCCAAAATACCTTTCCGACCGCATCTTGGCCTACGAGCCCACGAGGACCTTGAGATCGTCTGGGGAGGCCCTCCTCTCGATCCCGCCTGCGTCACAGGCACGACTGGCGGGGACGAGGGAGAGGGCCTTCTCAGTGGTGGCCCCCCGGCTGTGGAACACTCTCCCGGCACACATCAGACAGGCGCCCTCCCTTATGTCCTTTCGGAAAAGCCTTAAGACCTGGCTGTTCGAGAGGGCATTTAATTAAGTGCTAATAATATGGTTATGAGAACTGGAATGGAACTAGGAGTATGAGACCGGCTATGATTCCACTAAGAGGCGAAGCGGATTTTAGTGTAGTCTGTAGTTGTTGTATAGTCTGTATGTTGTGAAACTGACTTTTGTAATTGTCTTTTATGTGTACTGTACACCGCCATGAGTCGCCCGTAAGGGCTGAGAATGGCGGTTAATAAGTGCATCTAATAAATAAATAAATAAATAAATAAAATACACAGATATACAAATACTAAAACAGTATTAAATATTATTAGTATTTTAAAAAATCAAGTTAAAACCATAAAAACATATAAAATCACAGTAGACCTGATGATATTAAAAACCTTCTTCTTTAAAACCTTCCTCAATAAAAAGGTTTTAACCTTCCACCTGAAGGGCAGCAAGGAAGGGGTCATTCTGGCTTCACTGGGCAGGAAGTTCCAGAGTTGAGGGGCAGCCACTGAGAAGGCCCCTTTCTCTTATTCCCACCAACCGAGTTTGAGATGGAGGTGGGCCCGAGAGAAGGGCCTCTCCTGAAAATCTCAAGGCCCAGGCAGGTTCGTACAAGGGGATGCAGTCAGCCAAATAGCCTGGACCTGAACCGTCTAGAGCTTTAAAGGTTATAACCAGCATTTTGAATTGTGCCCAGTAACAGACTGGCAGCCAATAGAGCTGCTTCAACAGGGGGTTTATCCACTCCCTGCAGCCAGCCCCAGTTAGCAACGTGGCTGCAGCTCTTTGGACCAGCTGAAGTTTCCAAGCACTCTTAACAGGCAGCCCCATGTAGAGCATGATCCAGTGATCCAGACAGAATGTAACTAAGGCTTGTATCACCATGGCCAGATCTGGCTTCTCAAGGAATGGGCGTTGTTGACAAACACATTTTAATTACACAAAGCCCCCCCAACCACCACCAAATCCTGGGCCTCCAGGTTCAGCACTGAGTCCAGGAGGATCCCCAAACTGCGGACCTGTGTCTTCAGGGGTAGTGTGACCCCATCCAGCACTGGCTGTATCGATCCCTATTCCCCGATCTGCCTTACAACTGACCAGGAGTACCTCTGTCTTGTCTGGATTAAGTTTCAATTTGTTTGCCCTCACTCAGTCCATTACTGATGACAGACACTGGTTTAGGGTCAGGACAGCTTCCTTGGCTTTAGGTGGAAAGGAGTAGTAGAGTTGGGCATCATCTGCGAATAGGTGCCATCGAACTCCAAAACTCTGGATGACCTCTCCCAGTAGTTTCATATATATGTTGAACAGCATGGGGGACAAAAAGAAACAGATCAATGACTATGCGTTCGAACAGGAGTCCCCCATCACCAGCTTCTGGGTACAGCCCTCCAGGAAGGACTGGAGCCATTGTAAGACAGTGCCTCCTAGTTTCATCCCAGTGAGTTAACCCAGAAGGATACCATGGTCAATGGTTTTGAAAGCTGCTGAGAGGTTCAGGAGAACCAAAAGAGAACCCTGTGTAGCTCTCTGCATAAGTCATCCATCAAGACGACCAAAGTTGTCTCCGTTCCATAGCTAGGCCTGAAACCAGATTGAAATGGAAATAATCCATTTCATCCAGAAATCCCTGGAGTTGGGACTAATGTAGACTAATGCCTTGCCTACAATGTTTCTTTGTTTGTTTTGATGCTGGTACTTAATCCTAAAATGGGCTATTGTCTTGCAAATAATAACAGCTTCGTATGATCAAACTCATGCTCATATCCACTGTGTAACATAGCACAACCAGGCCATCAGTCTTCCTTGTAGTAGTTTTAAAAACCAAGATATATTTTTCCTCCTTTTCTTTAGGAAATGATGACAATACATTCTCAATAGACAGAAATACTGGAAACATAACAATGAACAAGCCTGTTGACAAACTAAAGACTTTTGTGTTGTATATTGTGGTAAGTCTCTTGATTATTTGATTATTCTGTGTACCAGTAATGCGTCTGGAATATATGTTTGTTGAGGAGAAAGGAACCAAGTTGGGACAAATGCAATCAGTAGATGTGGGATAAATAAGATATAATGTTGTACTCATCCATACCATTAAGTAGAATGAGGTGACCGCCACAGGCTGCAGATGCTGGATAACTTGTGGGAAAGATGGGAAAGATTTTCTTTCCGTAATTTCCAGTTCTTGAAGGAGAAATATGTGTTCGATTGTAGTCTGTCTTGCACTTCCAGTGCTAATCAGTCATCCCAATATATTTATGAGGACACTATCCTGTTGCTAGTCCAGTTATCTGAATGTGAAATGAAGGAATGAAAAGGGTGCCATCTTTTCCATTTTCTCAGACAGAAAAATGTCTCCTGCCTGCCTTTTCTCACAGACATTTTTTGAATGTGCTGGGAATGTCTTGTTAGGACTGAAATATTTGTCAGTTCTGTTGCCTTGTATAATGATACAATTGAAAACATTCATATGTCTCTGAGCTTGTTATGGCAACTTCCTGATGTTTATCATGGGATAAGTACTTGGAATCAGTTATGATCACCAACAACAATAGCATTTATGATAGAACCAATTAGGAAATTACATTTACTGAATTTAGGAAATGGCTGTTAAAAAGACTGAGAACACATCTCAGTGGAAAGGAGGAAGGAAACAAAAATAGAGAAAGTGCATCCTTTTCTGCAGTGCTGTGTAGTGGTTTGACAATTGGACTACAATTCTGGGGCCCCAAGATCAAATCCACATTTGACCATGGAAACCCACTAAATGATCTTGGGCAAAACATATTCTTTTAGCCTCAGGGGAAGGTAAAAGCAAAGTCCCTCTGAACACATCTTGTGAAAGAAATACCAAGATAGATTCACCTGAGGGATAACCATAAATCAGAAAGTCACTGAAAATACACAACCTGCCATTTACTGCTAAAGCAGAGGACAGTAAAGTGCTGCCCTTTGGTTACATGGGACTCACAAACAGGGTTCCCAAGTCTCAGGACCTGGCACCTCTTCTCTGCTATTTATGGCAAAGTGAGAGGAACCTCAGGATAAGAGCATTACCTTGAAAAATCTGTATATGTATATCTTTTCCTAATTTGTTAGATATAATAAAGCTTCAATTAAAAGACACAATTGATTGTAAGGATTTCATCAGACCGGCAATACTGCCCATCCTACAACACTTGGACCTCTCTTCAGGCATGGAACCTGCCAGATCCCATCACATGACATCAATCTATTTCCGGCGGGGCTCCATGTCTGAAGAGAGGCCCAAGTGTGGCAGGAGGAAGCACTGACAACACAAGAGGCTTACTGTGTTGCATAGACCACAACGGGGAAGTCGGGCAGTGATGTTTCCCCCATAGAATACGTACAATGGATACAATGAGGGGTGCAGGTTCCCCATGCCCCACACCAGATTTGCCACGATACATGGTGAATCCCTCCATTATCACCCAAATAGATGACCTCAATATAATCAGGTCCCAAGATGCATACTAATTTCAGTATTGCCACCACCACAAACAAAAAACAACAACAAAAAACCATAAGACACACCTGCGATTCTAAATTGCAACCCATTTCTAGAGATTTATCACAGGGGAAATGTATCTCAGAATCAAATAAATAAAGTATGTTATATCATTCAGTGGCATACTCTGTGCAACTGCATTTGATGCTTAATGTATCATGCTTAATTTGCATCACTAGTTCTCTCTGTAACATTATGAGGGCTTTTCCCAGGAATGGCCCTGGAGTTGTCAGCAGATCTCAGATTTGGGTCCTGAAATTTCAGCGCCTGGCATAGTCTTGACTTGGAAAACTGGCCCTCAAGGCTAATGTGGCTGGTCTCAATCTTTCCAAACTGCCCAGGCTTCCATTTTTGGCAGCATGGAAGCATGGATTTATCTTTTATATAGGTTGTAAGCTGTCTATCCCTGCACAGTTCATTTTTTCTTTTAGAAAGCTTTCCCTCAAAACCAAAACTGCTTAAAGCCAGTGCTGTGGACCAGATCACTGAAAGCTGAAGTTTAGTTCTCAGGGATTAAGAAACTTAACATTTCCCTTTAATTAAGTGATTATTAGCCCTGAAGAAACAACAATGGTATCTCTGCTTCTCTCCATCTCTCTGTCTCTAGGCTTCCCAAGAAAACAATCCATTCAGATATTCGCAAACTACAGTGGAAATCAAAGTTGTGCACAGAAATGACCACAAGCCTGTTTTCAACACTACTTACCTGGGAACCATGTCTGTGGATTTGCCTGTTTCCAGCCTGGTCATGGAGGCTGGCAAACCTTCAGTACCCCTGAAGATTTTTGCACGTGATGATGACTTTCCTGATGTAAGGAATTATTTGATGCCATGGAGTAGATGATATCCATCAAGACCAACCTTTGAAAGAAAGAGGAAAAAAAGGGGGGGCATAGAACACAAATCTCAGGATTCCCCAACTAGCATGGCCATTGTAGGAAATGTAATTTTACCAAGCTCTGATTAAGGTCTTAATTATTATGCAAGGAGGCCAGAATTTTGTTGATTTATTGTGGTCTTTTTTCAGTGGAGTTCAAGGTGCTATTCTTTAGTTCTTTGCACAACACCCCTCCCCTGAACTCTGCCGTGGGTCACCAATAGGGATAGAAGAAAATATCATGTAGTTCAAAGGAGAAGGAATAGGAGGGTGTACCCCATCTGTAAATGCCCTCCACTTCTTTTCCCTTCTGAACGGAGGCTAGCCAATTCTGTCACCTGAGTTTCTTACTCACTCACTTCCCCACTGGTAAGCAACATCACCTCTCCAGGGCTTGACAGCTACAGCAGGGAGATTTTAGATTAAGCTCAAAAAACAAGAGGATAGATCCTTCTGTCCCATACAAATAAAAAGATATTAGTAGGTAGTGAACATGGAACTGCATGGATGGTCATAGAACTACCTGTTTAAGATCTCAGCCATAATGCGGAAGATGGAACTAGATGATATTAATGCAAGGTGATGCACAGAAATTCTTCCCTTGGGGCAGAAGGTTAGAATGTACTTCTCACCCACCCATGTGCTTGGCAGGGAGAGCTGGGAGGCCACCCTCATCTGCCACTTGCCAAGGGAAGCTTCGTAGCTCTCATGCCTTTACTCACCTGTGCATCTGTCCCTTGGAACTACAGGGACTGCTCCAAGGGTTGGGTGCACAGACAGGGATGCGACTATTAGGCAAAATCCCAAAACCAGGACCCCCAAAAGGGGAGTGCAGCTATTATGTGATGGCAACTATTATGCAATGAAATATGGTACTCCCATGCTTATACTTCTGCAAACCTAGAAGCCTTGTTCTGTAGCTAATGTGAATAAAGGCATCACTTGCAAGTATTGCATAATTTTTGGGAGGGAAAGTAGTATTTATATAACATGTACTGCTGGTTTTTAAAACAATGAATTTGCTATCAATCTACATAATATTCAATTTAGGAGTAACTAAAAAACCCAGCTCACTGCAATTGTGAAAAATAAAATGAAATAGAAACAATGATATTTGTTTCTATTTCATCCCAAAAATCTTGAATGGAAATGCAATGATACCATGTAATTGCCTTTTATTTCTACTCTGTGCTTGAAAGGGTACAAGAAAGAGATTGGGAGAGCACATATTACTGGAAAAAATCATAGGTCATGCTAGAACTGTGCATATTTTATTAAGATAAAAAAATGTTTTGAATTATTGACAATAATGGGCAGTCAATGCAAACAGTTAAGATTATACCTAAGACCAGAGCTTGAAAAGGTTTTTTTTTTTTTTTTAATGAAATCTCTTAGAGTTGGGTAGCAAGCTTGGCTATTAGTCATGGTAGCTATGGGATACTGGGAGTTAGTGTGGGCGGGGGGATTTCTTGAATTTGCAATCAGAAAGTAACTTTTCCCAAGCGCAGTCATCAATGGGGTGGGAAAACTGGGCCCTCTAGATGGTGCTGGACTTCAGCTCTATCATTTTCCCCCTTGGATATCATGGTTATCTGATGGAAGTTAAACTTCTGGATGACCTCACTGTGCCTATCCCTGGTTAGGGCATGGGTACATGGTGCACATCGCTTAGTCAGAAGTAGAGTGAGAAGCAATAGAGGTTTCCTTTTAAATTCCATTCATTTGAGCAACGTATAATGTAGATTTTTTTATACACTGTTTTCAGGGAATAAATCCTGACATTAAATATGAAATCCAAAACAGCAGTGATTTCAGAGTCACCTCAGATGGATTTCTCCTGACTACTGTAGTTTTGGATGTGCCCTCCACTATTACACTTTTGGTGAGTCTTCCATATGCTGCTATGCTATGCTATGCTATTTTGGCTCTCTCATGCTAGAAAGGGGAATTGGGTATCTCATTGTAATTCATTATTGCAGAATGTAAATAGATAATTTAAAGGTAATGGAGGAAGAAAATACAATGGCAACCGTGATAACTGTTGGGGGTTTTTTTTGTTGTTAAATGTTTTTTATTAATGAATTGGTGGCATACAGAATATAAGAAAGAAAAACACTTAAAGATAATCAAATACACATACTACAGGTATGCCACTGTGAAGAATTTGCAAGGCACTTTGCGGATAAATTGCTCAGATTCCAACTTGGATGCTGTAATTGATACAGTTCCAATGGATGTAACTTTGGCCCCTGCTTCTCCAGTATTGATGGATACCTTTCAGTTTGTGCAGCATGAGGACGTGGACAGGATCCTTGGAGAGGTGTGAGCTACCACATGTATTCCAGATCCTTGCCCTTCCTAGCTGATCAAACAGGTCAGAGTGAGATTGGCAGATTGGTCAATGCCTCCTTAGAACAAGGCAAAGTTCCAGCTTGTGAGGCAGTTGTGAGACCTATATTTTAAAAAGCCATCCCGGAACCCCTTTATAATGGACAACTATTGTCAATGTCCAACCTCCCCTTTCTGAGCAAGGTCTTGGAGCATATGGTGGCCTCCCAACTCCAAGGATTTAGGGATGAAATGGTTTATCTAGCTCCATTTCAATCTGGTTTTAGGCCTTGTTATGGAACAGAGACAGCTTTGGTCGCCTTCGTGGATGACCTCTGCAAGAGCTAGACACAGGGAGTGTGTCCTTGTTGGTTCTCCTGAACCTTTCAGCAGCTTTTAACACCACTGACCATGGTATCCTTCTGGGCCATCTTGCTGAAGTCTATTGCCTGGACATGAGATTTACTGTAAGAGTGTCAGTAGTCAGTATAAAGTGTAAGAATTCCCCACACAGTGCATAGTTCAATGCTAGGTAGGTTATTTTTTTTCTGCTTGGTAGATTTAGCACATTTCTGTGCATAGCTAACATCTACTTTCATGTCTGCACAGGTTATTGCTAACGATACCGTGGCTCAGCAGGAAGCAAGCACTTTGATTACTATAGATGTCCTACCTTTGGCAAGTATGTTGGTGGCATTCAGGGATTTCAGGTGGCATTTCGGGATTTCAGAGAATGTGAAAAAATTCTAAGAGCAGCACATTGCACTGGCTCTGATAGCCTTAGCTTTTGCTTTAATACAGCAAACACTGACAAACCCACATATTAATTTCCAAAATATTCCCCTCATTTAATTGGCAGTAAACCATGCATGCTTTCTCTGAAGGTAAAGGGGTTTCTTTGTCAAAAATTTGTGATAGCATTGCACTGTTGGAGAATTCTTACACTTTCATAAAGGCTGTGATCATTTCTGTGAACAAATAATTGAGCTTAGCGATATAGAAACATTGTAGTACAAAGTGACTAATATTGAAACTTGTGTTTTCAGCTACAACAATTCCAACTACTACTACTACTACCACAACCACCACTACTACTGCCACCAATACCACCTCTACAACATCATTCACTACTATCCCAGGGATAGGGACAACGACTTCAAGGACTTCAGGTCCGTTCTCTAGTTTACCCCCTGGGATAAACAGCACTCTACCTACAGTTCCTTCTCAGTCTACCGTGCCCACATCACCACCTGCAAGTACAACTAGGAATACTGGCATTACGGAGAGTACTGGGAAACCCATAACAGGTACAACATCTGACTTAGTTATCCACCTTTTGTAACTGCATCATCATCATCATCATCATCATCAGACCACCAATTCTCTCCTAACAGGGCTAAGCCAAACGCCCATGGTCAAGCAAACAGCTGGAACTGACTAGTTCAGTCTCTTTCTCACTAACCCTCCCATAACAGATTAATCTATGACAACATGCAGGACTGATCATTCTGTTTTGCAAATTTTCTTTCAAACTTCAGCAACCAAATATTCTACTACAGATTCAATTTCCACAGTTGGTAGTCATGCAATTATACATTCTAATTCTAAATGTACTGCATCAAGCACAACTTCCATTGAATGCCAGATCAGTGTCTGAGAAAACAAGTCAATTCTGCTGAGGTGACTGGGGAAACAGTCCCAAAGCTTTGGTAGTTTTCAAAAATCATGCTGTGTTTACCCGAATTGCATACCTGGAGGGCCAAAATTTTCCCATGCCTGCAGTAGAGGTTCATACTGATCACTGTAGCAGCTCATCAACTCATTCAGTGACAAATATAATGGTTACAGTTTTCACCCAACTTAATTTCACTACCTATATCACTAGCTCCTACAACAGATACCTTATCCTGCAAATCTGAATGTAGAGCATCATAGGCACTGTCCTCAACCACACTGAATCCAGAGAACTTTGGTGCAGCATCTGATCCTAATTAATGATGATCAAGCTCATGATAGCTTTGCATAAGCCTGTGATCAAGAACTCTCCATGCCAGTCACAAAGGGAAAATCTCCTTATGTGATTTAAGATCGACTTCTACGCACCTGCAATCACTTTGATGTTCTCTAATATTGAATGTGAAGATCCAGTGCCTCAACAGTTGACCTGCAGAGCATTTGGACTGTCTAAACTCTCCACCTCATAAACTGAGGAATTCTGGTGGCATTAAGTATATGTGTATGTGTTCAGGCTTGCTCAACTTTACTATCAAGCCAGTGATCGCCCTGGCAAATCAGCAGGTTTGCTACAGCCTTTATCAACTTCCAAGAGTCCTTGAAAATTAGTATCCCTGGATTTCATAGTGGACTTTCTGCCCTCAGGAGGCTTTATGGTGGTAGTAGACTTGTTCACAAAGATGGTTCATTTTGTTCTATAAACAGGAATGCCTTCTGCCAAGAACACTAGATGTCTGTTCCTACAGAATATTTTTGTCTATATTAATACCTAAGGGCATTCATTGTGTAGGATCATGGTTCCCAACTCATGGCACAGTTCTCGCAAGACCATGTTCCATCTTCTGGAAGTCAAGCTTCATCTAACCTCAGCATACTGCCTATGTCAGACAGGCAGATGGAGCATATCAATACCATCCTGGAGCAACATCTCAAGCGTTATGTGAACTATCAGCAAAACAATTGGATGGAATTACTATCTGACCAAGGACCCTTCCAGACAAGCCAAAAATCCAAGAGGAAGTGGGATTTTAAATCCCTCTTAGGATGGAAACTACACAGATGGCCTAAACCCCATGCTTTTGCATGGGTGGTGTCCAGATACTCGCCCCGCTGATCCAAGATCAGCAGGGGCGAGCATGGGCACTGCCAGCCTCCCTCTCCCTGCCCTCCATTTTCTCCTACACTTACTGGAAGAAGACTGCAACAAGGCCTGAAGCTCTCCCCTCCTTTGAAAGAGAAGGAGGACTTTGGGTAGGGTATCGGGGGTTTCTCCTCAAAGACCTCCTATTGTATCTTCCAGGGAGGAGGAAGAGAGGCAAAGACTCCAGGCCTGCATGGAAGGCTTCCTTCGGTAATTGAGGGGTAAATTGTGGGCAGGAGGGAGAGAAGGAAAACATGTGTTTTCCATGCTGGCAGGGATACACAGGCATGGAAAACTGTTTGTTTCTCAGGAGGAATTGGGTTTAAAGAGCAGGTTTTAAACACATGTTTTCCAGCCTTTAATCCGATTCCTCCAGATTCCTCCCACATTTTGACTAAACATTGTTTAGCCACCCCCACTTTTAACCTGATTTAACATGTGTAGAAGGGCCCCAAATTTTCATTGAGCAATTGGTAACTGCACAGATCCTATTCTTTGAAAACTGTGGTACAGTCCCAAATTCTTCCCTTTAGACTTGCCTTCGGCTTTCTCTTCAGTGCTCACTGCAAACCAACTCCTGCAAGAACTCCAAGGAATGCAGTTCATCCTCAGACACCAACTTAAACAAGCCAAAGAGGCTTACAATTTGCCAATGGTGTGTAGAAATCAAGTTAGGGGGCCCTTCACATTGGAGATAAGGTATGACTTTCCCCAAATATTTTCCCTTGCATTACCACAGCCAAAAACTCAATGATTCATTCCTCTTCTTGGTTCAAATCATGTTTTAACTCTAGCTTCCTCCATTCCTGCGCATCAACTCTTTATTCCTTTTGGCTCCAGCTTCATCAGCTCATCTTTTCCAGGAATCTGAGGTTCACCACCACTGATCATTGTGGAGGGTGAGGAAGAATATGAATTTGTCATGATTGTCTGCATTACCTTGTGGATTGGAGTGGATATAAGCTAGAGAAGTGACCATGGGAGACAGTTCCATCAATGCTAACCTGGGAAACCTATTTCCCTTTACCCCATGAAAGGAGAACCATGGAGAGGGGTTTGATGTCATTCCCACCACCCTCCAGGAGAGTCCATGTTCCTCAGAAGACGAAGAACACTTACAGTAGAGAAGTCGTTCTTCAAGAGTTCATTCTGGAGAACAGAAGACAGAAGCTGCAGAAGTTGTACTTGGAGAAGAGAAGACCTCCTGCAGTTTAGCAAAAAGGGGGAGCTGAAAGAGAGACTTCCTTGTGAGGGAATACAAATCAAGCATTCGACGCAGACCTGAAATGCAACAAAAAGCTCAGAGCTAATGTAGTCTCTAAATTCAATCAGGCATGTGCTGATGCGATGATCTGCAAGAAAACCCTTTTCCATATTTTTAAAACAAAATTTTAAACAATTGCCATATTGTTTGAAACTGAATTACTTTTTATGTTCTTAACTGAATCTTAACTTTTAAAGTGTATGGTAACACTATTCTAATACGATGAATATATTGTTTAATTCCATTTTAATGTTCACTTTTTGTACATGTTACCTGTATTGTTCTTTATTTGTATGGTAAACCATCCAGTGACCCAATTTTGTGAGAAAAAGTGGAAAACAATAAATATAGCTTCTTCTCATTGCTTTTGTTGTTGTTTTCAAAGCTCCAGGGCCCACACCATCAGTACACCCTACTTTTAAGTCTAGCACATCAAGTACAATTTCTGCAGCTCCAGGACCTGGGGGACCCACATCATCAACACCACCTACTTCTAAATCAACCACATCAAGTACAACTTCTGCAGCTCCAGGACCTGGGGGTCCCACACCACCAACAACCCCTACTTCTAAATCAACAACATCAAGTATAACTTCTGCAGCTCCAGGACCTGGGGGTCCCACATCATCAATACAACCTACTTCTAAATCAACCACATCAAGTACAACTTCTGCAGCTCCAGGATCTGGGGTCCCCATACCATCAGCACAACCTACTACTAAGTCAACCCCATCAAGTACAACTTCTGCATCTCCAGGACCTGGGGGTCCCACATCATCAACACAACCGACTTCTAAATCAACCACATCAAGTACAACTTCTGCAGCTCCAGGATCTGGGGCCCCCATACCATCACCACACCCTACTACTAAGTCTACCACATCAAGTAAAACTTCTGTGCATCCAGGACCTGGGGGACCCACACTGTCAACACGCCCTACTTCTAAGACTACAATAGCAAGTACAACTTCTGCAGCATCAGAGCTAACAAGTGAGTTTTATAACTTGGAAGTTTTGTAGTTTCCTTGTTTCATGCAAACTATGGTTAAAATTAACTACAGTGTCTTGATTAAGAAGGAAAAAGCCCTGAACATTTCCTCACAGTAGTGCTGGAAGATAGTGGGCACCAATATCCAAGAGAAATTAGATTTATTCTAGACATCATAAAACATGTCTTATCATGACATCAAAATATAGCCTTAATGATTGTCTCTCATTATAATATTTTATAAGCCTGTGATTTACATCCCTGCCTCTGTGTATGAGAATATTTTAGATGTTTCCATAAATTTCCTAGGAATCATGAATCTTTCAGATGTTGTTGAACTTCAGGTCCCAAGTATTCTCATCAATTGGCTATATATAATTTATGGCGGTTTCCAGAGGAGCATTTGCACAGCTTCGGCTTGTGCGCCAGCTGCGCCCGTATCTTGGGAAGTCTGACTTGGCCACGGTGGTACACGCTCTGGTCACATCCCGCCTTGATTACTGCAACGCTCTCTACGTGGGGCTGCCCTTGAAGACGGCCCGGAAGCTTCAGCTAGTCCAGCGCGCGGCAGCCATGTTACTAACAGGAGCGGGGCGCAGGGAGCACCCCCCCTGTTGAGCCAGCTCCACTGGCTGCCAATTTGCTACCGGGCACAATTCAAGGTGCTGGCTTTAGCCTATAAAGCCCTACACGGTTCCGGCCCCACTTACTTCTCCGAACGCATCTCCACCTATGAACCGGCGAGGACCTTAAGATCGTCCGGGGAGGCCCTGCTCTCGTCCCGCCAGCGTCACAAGTGAGGTTGGCGGGCACGAGAGACAGGGCCTTCTCGGTAGTGGCCCCTCGGCTATGGAATGCGTTACCAGCGGACATCAGGCAGGCCCCTTCGTTGCTGGCGTTTCGAAGGAGGGTTAAGACGTGGCTCTATGAACAGGCATTCGGTTAACTATGCAGTAACAACCACCCCAATAATGACGGCATTGAACAAGGATTGAATTAAGGATTATGAGATCGGGATCTGATTCTAAGTAGGCGTTGATGATTATGTGTATTGTTTGTGGATGTGTGTCTTTATATTGTTCACTTGTTTATTTTTACTGTAAACCGCATTGAGTCGCCGTTCCAGGCTGATAAATGCGGTATACAAATAGAGTAAATAAATAAATAAATAAATATGCAATCCAATAACACATGAAGGGCCACATGACTCTCCCATGTCCTGATCCTCAAAAATAATTGTGAATCTGAAACCAGTTTTTCCTATTCTGCATGTGTATAGAGGATTAAATAATAAAGAACCTGCAGCCCCAACTAAGCATAGATTGTGAGGTTCAGCAGACAGGCTGGCAATTGAACAGCCATGAAACTGAAATGCAAAATCAATAGAGGGAATCCTAGGCCATGGCATTCTGGTATCGTACATTTTGAAAAATTTGCATTTATAACCTTTGTTGAATGGAAAAATTATGTCATATCCTTTTGGCAAATGTGAATCTCCATGAACATCTGGAGATCACCTTATGAAAACCACTAGTAAAGAAAAGGCATGGCCTTCTTAGACTTCAACCCTTTGAAAAAAAAGAGATGTTCACAAGCATTCATGCAATGGCACACAGGTAACTCAGCTGTTAAACTGGTAACCATGTCTTTGAACTGCCAGGGACAAAGGCATCCCATTGCAGAAAAAAAAAACATACTTAGCTAGCAGAGTTTTGAAAATGTTTCTTTGAAGTTCAAGTTGAAATTGCAGTTACTCAAAACATATATTCTCCCTTCAAACCTATTAGTTTTAAAATATGCACTCGTTAAACAAATAACATGTCTTGTTTACTCATAAACATCTTGTATTAATTCAACATACAGGCACATTGCTTGTTAAAGTTCAGATAGGATGTAGTTTCTTTGTGTTCAGAACACGGGTGTAATTCTTAATCATTCATCCATAGTCCGATGTCTTTAACTATACATCTTATGAAAGTCCAAACTGTATAATGGTACTCACTGCTTCTCAAAGCAAACATATAGTAAATTATTCCTGCATAAGTCCAAATGCAAACTGCTTCCACTGAAGTCCAAAAGCATAACTGCACCCACCTCCACTGAGCTCTAAAGTGAACTGCTCACAGAATGGAATATTTTTAAAATAATAATAATAATAATAATAATAATAATAAATAAATAAATAAATAAATAAATAATTCTTATCCATGTCTCCTCAAGGTTTGAGGCAGGGCATAACCCAGTTAAAAACACATAATTATAAAACATGATATAAATTAAAATGTAATTCTATTATACATATATATATATATATATATATATATATATATATATATATATATTAAAACACACAGAACAAAGATTAAAATACAGTAAACCCAAAATGTGAGTTCAAATTTTATAGTTTAAAATAATTGGGAATATGAGCTGTATCAAAAACATAATTCTTTTTCATGTGAATTAATCATGACTAATTTAAATTAAGCAAGTTGAGGTTGTTGTTCAGCGCCTTCAAATTGATTTTAATTTTTGGCCACTTAAATGTAAATTTATCACAGGGTTTTCTTGCAAGATTTGTTCAGAGGAGATTTGCTTTTGACTTCCTCTGAGACTGAGATAATGTGTCATGTCCAAGATGGGTTTCTATGGCTGAGCAAGGATTCAAAACTTGGTCTACAGTCATCATCAAGAGCTCAAACCAATGGTTAGAAATGGGAGTGACCATACCTGTTTAATAAAGCATGAACACTAAACCTAATGTAGCTGAGACTGAGCTCTCAGAAATAGGTTTGTTATCTCAGTCACAGTGACAGACCAGCCAAAGGCGAACATTAATTTCCCCTATGCAATGGACTCCATATCCCCCTTTTTGATAGATGAGATAACGCAGTGGGTTAAACCCCTGTGCCGGCAGGACTGAAGACCGACAGGTCGCAGGTTCGAATCCAGGGAGAGGCGGATGAGCTCCCTCTATCAGCTCCAGCGGGGACATGAGAGAAGCCTCCCACAAGGATAATAAAGCATCAAATCATCCGGGCGTCCCCTGGGCAACGTCCTTGCAGACAGCCAGTTCTCTCACACCAGAAGCGACTTGGTTTCTCAAGTCGCTCCTGACATGACAAAAACAAACAAACAAACAAAAAAACTGAGTTTCTGAAACCCTTTAAGTCATGGTTATTTAAAGGATATACCTTTGTTAATGAAACCTATAATTTGATGAGATCCCAAGATGAAATACTAATTTTCAATACTCAGAACACAAACCTGACATTTTTCTTTTGGGTACTCAGCATGAATTAATTGGTTTATATTTTAAGCCGTTATACTGCTTCCACATTTACAATTATTCTAGGAAGATAGCTTATTGATTTGTGAGGAGGCACTAAAGTAATTTTTATCAGCTAAATTCTTTCAATAATAAAAACTCAGGCAATTTTTCTCACAAAACACAAGAGACATTTCTTTGCATGCCATATTTTACCAAAATGAGAGTGCTGTATTAGGTGGAAAATATGCTATCTTTTAGGTGGAAATATGAAATCTTTATTTCATCGAACCCCTTTTAGCAAGCCATTAAGAGTCAATTTTGCAGAAACCATAGTAGTCTACAGTTTAATTGCTCAGATTACATGTACACATCACAACAACCACAATGTGGTTTCTTGAAATCTTTCTTGCTATGATATGCATACCTGTTACTGCTAACAAACTATAGTTTACTAGCAAACCTGAATCTGAATCAATGTATGAATACTGGCTAATCGAACCTATCTCATTCAAAAAAGAATTTGTTGTCATAGCCAAACCTGCAACCAGGAGTTGTCTCAACCTTGTCTCCCATCCTAAAACAAGGGCTGACAAAAGACTAGGAAAGAAATCAGAAAGAAATAAAAAATCGAAGAAATAAGTTATACTGACTGTTACTCATAGAATTCATAGAAGAAGCAAGAAATTATGGCTAACACAAACCATAGTTTATAATGGCATAAGAATGCATCGATTGATGTGCTACAACAGCTTAAATTCTTTGTCCAAACACAACTATTGGAGGAACAAGAGCCCTGTCCTCTTTTAAAGGAGCCACACTTAATGTTTGGTAGAAATGATGACACCCTCTTAACTAGGAAAGAAATCAGAAAGGTATAGAGGCTAATACTGCATGAAACAAGATGAAATGGGATCTTTCCAAAATAGTTTATAGCAGCATTTTTACTAATTTATTTCACAACATATAGATACAGATACACAACATACAGATATCTCATCTTATAGTAACATTGCAGAAGCATCATAATGAGGAGGAGGAGGAGGATAATATCATCTTCTTCAGGAATGCTAGTCACTTACAGCAGTTTAAAATGTTGTCACTTTGTCCCAATGAATCCTAAGATATTTAGTTGTAACTGGGTGAAATTCTTAATATTCTTTGTTGTTGTAATAGTATGCTGCCTATCAACAACAAATAATACTTTAAAAAACTCGTAGTTCAGATAAATATAAAGATACAGTAGACTCTCAGTTAACTAGCACCTGGTTAACTGAAAGTTTCTAGTAAAGATAAGCCTAATAATAATATACTATAACATACCATAAACTCTGTACTGATTTGATATTAATATTGGAATAGACCAATTAAAGGCAAATAAAGAAAAATAAAGACCAGTTTAACTTAAGTTTGTATTTCTGTTAAAAATGATTTTATTTTATTTTATTTTATTTGTATTTTTTATTTTTTATTTTTTTTTTACTTTTTTTATTATTTTACTCTAACATTTCTCCCCCTTTTTTTCTCATTTTTTCCCCCCCTTTTCCCACCACAGTGCTCCCCTCCACCCATTTCAAGCCACCCTTCTTACATTTCATCTGTCCAAAATTTCATTTCTTCTTGTGACGGTAATTTTCCTTCCTTATTTTTTAATCCATTTACCACAAATCTTCCCCATACAGCATCAAAATCGCTTTGTTTCCATATACCTTTTTTAACCTTTAATATACATGTCAGT